AGTTTCCTCCCAAAGCAAACATTTAAAAAAGGATTTAATTAAACAAACTGATATTTCATCATGTGAAATATCAGAAACACTGATATTTAATGTTATGAGCCTGAATGCCTTCAAAGAGGTGTTTAAAAATGCAACAAAAACATTAATGCTACCTAAAAGCTTTTTATACCCTGTTTGACATCACATAAAAGTGCAGTTTAAATCTATAAAAGATACATCAAGGAATGTTAAGGCCTGTAAAGAGAGCACATTAAGTACTAAAATCCAAGAGATTCTCCGCAATCTAAGAGGGCTTCTGTTCATCATAAATATTTCAATAAGACGTTACACTCTTTTTCTAACTATTACATTAAGTTAGTTAAATATTACTAGCTTTGTTCAACACAATCTAAAATATTCAGAGCAAAAGTCATTTTCATATAATACAACTGTCATGTGTCTTGTGAAAATGCTGATGGTCTCTTTCTCAGCGGAAAAGATTGTGTGATGTTTCCAGAGGGGAGCTATTAGACAAAATAGTGGATCTTAACTCCATCCTCGTGTTACAGTGACACAATGTTTTGTTCCTGACAATGCCTCACCTGATTCATCTATAAAACTGGCACTTCATTAATCCAGTTAGCTGGGTTTTGTGAGGGAACAAACTGTTCTGTTGGCAATGTCAAGACGAGAGTTAAGAGACACTAAATTATGGGCAAAGAAGGGTTATCCATGTGACATTCAGAGTGATATTTAACTTTTAAAGTGATGGTACGAAACAAAATGTTGATCAGTGAGAAACTTCAGGTGACAGAATTGGTAATTGGTGACCGTTTGGCAATATCACAACACATTAATGCGGTGTGTACATACACCTGCACACAAGTCCACAGGCAGCTGGCATTTACTATCAACAACTATCCAACGTGGCCGTCTCTCAGTATCGAGTGTGGCGTAATACAATAAATTGCTGGTATTTATTTCCCTCACACCTCTTCACCTCATCTGTCTGAACCTCTCCAGCTCAAATGCCACCACAGTAAGTGCACAAAAACCCTCTTGTCAC